TACGACTACGACTACTACTGCTGCTCTCGCAACGACTAGTGCGACGACGACTACCACTTCCACTGCTGCCACTACTACTACTCGGGCTACTCCGGCTTCATACAGCTTCGTACGGCTGCGCCAACATGCACGCGATTCAGGAAAGGTCATGTCTGCTAGGATAAAGACAGTAAGGACAGCGTCCCTCAATTGCCTCGTGCTGGTACTTCTCGCACCAGTACAGAGTGCCTCTGCCAAAACGTACCCGTCGGGCAACGATGAATCATCAGAGCTAGGAAGCTGATATTTGAGGCAACGGTTTTCATATCGCAAACCACCGGACTCACTAAACAGGATGCTGCAGCAAAAGCATTACCCCTACTTTTGAAGTTATTGTGCTCATACTGCAGCTACTCCTGATGCTGCAAGTCGTCATTGGTCATCACATCAATACAGGTATACTGGTACATGTACCAGTACTGTCCTTTGCGTCCAAGGGGTTGGCCGATGATACTAGTCGCAATCTTGTTCGTACAGGTCACTTGTAACTGCAACTCAGCACGACCAATTTGGGATGACGTCTTCATACATGCGTTTCTGGACCCAAACTTGCTGCTCCTGCTGCTCTTGTTAGGCCACACTTGGTTAAGACTTGTTTGACACGGAAACGCTATTCCTCCTACACTTGTTCACCTGCGCTGTGGGCATTTGCATGTACACTGCCCGCCCTTCACCCTGCGGCCTAGGCCCTTAAGCTCAGAGTAGCACCAGACCAATGATGAAGCAGCTCACCAATGCCGCCTCGATGAGTCGTCGGCTTGGGGTTGTTAGGGTCTGAACTGCCCGGCAAGGATTCCTCGCTTGGGTCCCATACTTGGTGGAGGGGCTCGGGTTCTAGGCCCTTAGGTGCTTTCTGCTGAAACAGCCTGCTAGTAGTTGGCTTTCCTCAAATCGAGCAGGAAGGAAGAGGGAGAGGGAGGTCTCGAAGCTGTTGTTCCGCGACAGCTGCAATCTGAAGTGTGCAGCCCTTGGGCTTCACGTCGTCTGTTCGATCTATGCGGATTCCTAAAGACATCGACATCGAATTTGTAGACCCTTGTGTATGTCAAGGTGGGTTACAGCCGCTTTCAATAAACATTTTCCTGGCAGCGTAAATCTGAGCTACCAGGCGACGCATCTTTGTATAGGTGCTGGGTGCTGAACAATAGTGGCCCAATCGCAGTAGTGACAAGGAGTTGCGGATAAATGCGTCGGCGGGCCGATTGTTTTCGACATTGACAGCTGGCCCTTTGGTTAGGGGTGAGGGTTGGAATCCTGAGCCCTGTGAACAGGATGGCCTGAAAAAGCACGACGCCTACCATTGAGCAATCTGGCTGCACTCAGCCGGCCCAAGCTTCCTTTCCGGCCTCCCTCAATGGGTATCGCACGGATCCTGAATATTTCCAAGAGTGGAGAATACTCCCGAATAGCAGATATTTTGATGCAGACGTTTTCCTCTAAGGCGGGGGCAAGCATCACGGCGCTTCCGTCGTGCATCCGGCGGTTCTGTGAAGCCGCAAGGGTGTGGTTCAAGAATACTACAGGCACGAGGGAAATCGTCAGGGTACCGTCGGCTCCCTGCTGAACACTCACCCTGGAGCCTCCGAACACTCCTGCTGATGCTACAGAACGCTTGTGGAAAGCAACGGGCCTTACTACCTCCACCGGCAACCTTTCTTGAGCCCTCATCCGAAGGCTACTCTCAAACACACCTTCAGTCGGATTTGGTACGTGGGTTGCAAGTATGACATAGTGTAGCCCAGCACCGAGACCCCGAAAAGTTGCATTCTATTTTCTAAACCCCAAGCCCCTAAGACTCCTAAAGGACAGGCCCGGACAGGCCTAAAGGCGCATTGTGCAATCGACCGAAGGTCTGAGCACATGGAGGTTCAGGTCTCATGACTGCACTTCCATACCTTTTGGGTGCTAAACCTTAAGACCCCACCCACCAACGAAGCCCCTCCGTGACCTGGTCGCCAACGCCCCCGCGCAGTCTGGGCCTCGGAGCTTAACATATCAGACAATCATATACTTACATACCATACCATACCATACCTTACATTACATTGCATTACATTACATTACATTACATTACATTAATACATACATATATATATATATACACAGAAGAAACTCAAGCTCCCAAAAAACAGAAGCCGCTTACTTAATTGTTGCTGTAGAGGACAAAGTGCTCTTGACTGCTCTTGGCGGCTGCTGCTGCTGCTCTTGGTGGCTACTGCGAGTTTCAATGACGTGTGCTTCTTATTTTTGCTTCGGGGCTCCAGTGGACTGGCCCGGCACACACACACACACACTTCTTCTTGGTTGATGGATGTTGATGGCATGACTGGGTTTGTTCGAATGTCAGGCCACACTGAGAATAATTTAGTCTTGGTCGATGGTTCTTTCTGCTGTCTCGATTTTGCTTGATATTCTTCTGGCATGCTTCCAAGCAAAACCATGCTGGACAGCAGCAAGATCCATAATCGCCAATGGTGTGGGAATTGGAGCATTCCGGCAGCCTCCTCCTCAACACCGGAGAAAACCCAAAGTGCTGAGTCTGAAGCGAAAGCTGCGTCTGATCCAGCGCAGCCTTGTCAGACTGGAGGAGCGTGACCTTCTGCAATAACTGCATCCAGAGCAAGCTTTGTAATGCAAACCTTCCGGGTAGGCTTGGATGGACCGACCAGCAATGTGCGCATTTGGAGATCACCCTGCGTAGCAATCGCATGATATCGCATGGAATCTCAACTTTTTTGCACAAGCGGGGCCAAGCTGCGAAAAAGGGATGTTAAGAAAGCAGACCGACATAAGCGAGCCCCGTGTTGTGGGCTGGCTTGTAAGTACTCGGAGAAAGATATCTGCACATACTACATCTGTTACATCTCCCTCAGCTCATAGGTAGCCCAAGGAAAAGGGATCGCCCACGCTCCAATGAGAACGGATCTGGAAGAATGGCTCAGAGGGAGTTGATAGCCGCGTCCATGAACTGCGTCTTTTGCCTTTGGGAGAGGTTTTGCCTGAGCTGTCGCAAAGTGTGCGGCACAACTTCCAACAGTAGCCCTTTCCTTACCCATGTGTCATAAGCTCTAGCTACAAGTATCAGTAGTCTCAATTGAGCAAAGACCTGACCGTTTTCAGTCTTGTTCTTAGGCGTAGCTTTTCCGACAATAGACATGCCTAGAGTGGCCCCCAAGCCTAACCCGAACGCAGGAGAAGGTATTCCACGTCCAGGTGAGCGGGAAGCTGCGCAACTCGTAGGCAGCAGGGATCTGTGCAGATAATGCTCAACTGTTTCTGCTCTACCTCCAACCCTGACAAAGAAGCATCAGCCCAGGCACAGATCAATGAGCCCACGCCTGACCGCTGCAGCGTCAACGTACTTCTCCAGGTTCGCGGCGGAGCGAGACTCCATGTCCTGGAATCCCGGTATATATGACTCTCTCGCTCTCTAATTCATCCTTCGGGGTCCTTTGAAGGGTTCTAAAGGCTACTATAAGGGGTACTAGAGGGGTCGACAATAATTATGTGGTCGGGGTTCTTTGTGTTGTCAGCACTACTCAATCCTAGTGCAGGACGAACTGATTTCGGCTACGGTATGCCTGCATGGATCTGGAGGAATGTGAGTGCAGAATCGTGTCAGCACATGCAGAGCTAAAGCACTCCTCTCGCCACTAGCTGAAGGCGTTCCACAACCATATTCATTACAGTTGAGATGCTACTGCCAAGAACAATGATATGAAGCACGACAGTACTACTGGTAGATTATCAGATTCGAACAGTTTTAAGACCGATGAATACATTTTGAGGCCATACCAAGAACAAAAACCGTTGCTATGCAGAGCAGGAATACAAGCGCATAATAGGTTTCAAATGCAAGCAGAAGACAAAGATACGGATGACAAGAATAGTCGCCATGATACATCTCGAACGAAGATACAAATCGTCGAGCAGAGAAATCATAGCCAAGGCCGGTCCTTCAGGCTGGATTCCAGCGCCTTGTCCTGGGCCTCCTGGGACTTCGTGGCCTGGGCCTGGCTGATGCCGAACATGGAATGGTTTCGAGCTGAGGGTTTCGACACACACACTCGCGCACAGCAGGCATGGATGAAGGCGTCCGAGATTACTACTGTGACATGCAACTACCCCAGCAGCTGGCAATCCCCGAGAGGACAACGGAACCGTAATATAAACAAAGAAGTAAGCATTTGCCAGTAGCCAGCGATAGCGACATGTCTTGTCAGGATGTCTTTCATGATGCAGGTGTCGAACCATGGAAGAAGGACTGCTTCAAAACGTGTATGTCATAGTCAGCATTCGCATAGACTGCTCAGATGTGCAAGCAAATTTACATGGGCCACTGAACATGCTTGCCATGCTAAGGGTTTAGGGAGTCAGGGTTGTGTAAAGGTTTGCTTTCTTTGAAACGATTTTGTGTAAGCGTAAGCATCGTAAGCGGTCTCGTAGCTCAGAAACTCCACAGCTGCCCAGCTGAGTCCGTGCATTCACAGATCGAATGACGGTTCTATTTCTTCATGGCTTTGGGGTTGGGTTTCCCGTTGAGGGTTCAGGACTCCCTTTCGGTCTGCGGTCTCGAATCTTGGAAAAGATATCAATCTTGGAAGCTGACCACTCTGGCCGGAAAAGTCTCTCTCGAATGTGGGGAGACTTCAGGACCGAAGCGAGGTAGGTATCTTCGCATATGCCATCATTTCTCTGTATCCTGCCGCCTAACCCTCGCAGTGTTTGTTCCAAGCTCCGGGCATTAAGGGTGTCCTGAAACTCCTTAATGTCCTTGGCGATGCTGTCGTTGATCTCCTTGACGACGGCATCAGCCTCGCGACAGTGAATGGCACCGTACTGCAACGCGAAGCTCCCGTGGTGACAGCTGCTGGTGAAGACAAAACTTTTCGCACAGGGAAGGGAGGACAAAGCACCTGTGTTTGAGAGCAAATGGTGGAAACAGCGCAGAGACTGCTAGAAAAACCTAAGTCTCGGGTCTAGACATAGGTGAAGCACTGCGAGATCAAAGCACCGCAATTTGTGGTTCATGCTAGTAGTTCCATTTGGGGAGTGATAAACATCACATTCAGCCACTGTATGAAGCTGAAGCCTGAAATCCTGCGAGTCGCAGACCCTGGGTCCAGCCTGCTCCTTCGCCTTCTTGGCCTCTGCCAGGCGCGTCGAAGCCTTGCCATGACTCATGTCATAAGATATCAGCACTCCAGGTTTCGAGGCGGCTTTTTGTCACATGAGAGATCGAAATGACAAGACGACGTCCGACCCCGGTGCGGCCCAGGTCGAAGACTGAGTCTACAGGCCCTGATGTTTGAGGTGCAAATGTAAGGCTTCAGTTCATCGAACTTGGTGGGCCTGTTGGTGCCCTTTAGCTCTCCGGGCCTCGTTGTACTTGGCGATGGCATCGTCGATGTCGCTCTGGATCTCCTGCAAGGAAGGTTCCATAATGGGGCGCGCTACCCCGAATCACTCGGAGCCGGAGGTGAGATGGAGGCTCGCTATCATACGAACATGGCCCCATGCTTCCTCGAAGTCAACAGCTGTAAGCTGTCTTGCGCTTCTGCACTGTAGAAGACTCCGAACATATGCAACGCGGGCGCGACTGGACAGGCCCCAAGAGTTGGAACTGAAGAAATCCGGAAGGGACCTGATGTAGACCCGACATGAACGGGTGTTAAGTGCAAGGACCCCTAAGTCGGGCAACCCTCAGTACCAAGTTGTGCGAAACGAAAACCATCCAAAGCAGAATGCTTTCTATCGGTGATTCTAAACGGGTGTAGGGCCGCTCTGCCACATCTGCAGACACAGACCCGCACTACCTGAAGGTCCATGGTAGTGAGGGTTTAGGCCTTCGTTATACGGTTCCCTTGGGCTTCTATTGGGTTTTGAAGGGAGTTTGACGGTTCATGGACAGTTTTAGGCACGCTCGGGTGAAACGTGGTAAACACAAAACTTCTTTTGCTCAGAACTTGCCTTACTAAGTCCCCTGATCCTTTATGTTAGATATATGTAGATGTCACTGGCATCTACGAAGGGAGCTGCTTGCCGCTGAAAGACAGCACAGATGTTGCAGGTCGCATCCCCCGTCGCAAAACCCCTAGCTGCCCTAGCTTCAGAGGCCAAGTTCTATTATATATATATATATAGATATATTTTTTTATTATTCTTATTATTACATGTCAAGGAAGTTCTGGACAGTGCAATCTCTCGGAGGCGCCTTCTCGCGCGAGGCCATGGACTCGCTGAGGAGAGGGCCCAAGAAGTAGAAGAGGCCGGCAACCAGGATCGAGATGTTCACCAAGTTGATATCCTCGGTTCGGGCTTATCTTTGATAGCACGCCTTCTGTGTTCTAGCACATCTGCTGCCATCCACTCGGCACATGAGCAGCACGAAACAGGGGAATAGTGGCGCAAAACGGCGAAGAGCTCACAGCAGAACATGCAGAACCGGCACCAGAAAAAAAAACAGCTTCCTCCGGAGCATGCGATAGAAGCCCCAAGTGCAAGCCTTCCAAAACATCCCTCCTCATAAGCCGCCACTTTCCTTGCTGACCGGCATCCGGGATGTTCAAGTTGAGGGCAAAGCCGCCACCAAGCTCCACCTTCCTTGGGAGAAGCAGGCCAGTTTGTGTTTCGGGCTTGGTCCCTGAACCCAGATTTACCGAACTGCTGAACCCCCTGATGAATAATATCTCGTCTTTCGAAATGCCAGTGCGCAATCATTAACACTCGGGCCCAGCAGGAAAGTGTGCATCCAGCGGACAAGCTGTGGGAGCTGTGCAGCATTCGCGCTGTACCGTGCACAATCATAAAATTCCAGCAGCGAGCAACCCGCAAGTTGCCCTGGCACCCAAGCTGCCCCACTCAAGGGACTCCAAACTCAACGCCCCAAAGGCCACCCGAATGAACTTTGATGTTACATGCCAAGAAGGTGACCAATAGCCTCTATTTTCCCTGAATCCTGAAACCTGAATTACACACTGAGGCCTCAGATCTGAATCCCACTGGGTCCCTGAGCTCTGTCTCCTTAGCACAGAGCTCTGTCTCCTGAACCGCAGACTCTGATCCGATCAGCCGGAAACTTAAGCTCTGGCACCCAACCCTGAGCTTTGTTCTATCCGAAAACCCGAAGCATGGAATCCTGGTGGCCAAACTAAGCCCGGCATTCTGAATCCTGACAGGCGCCTTAGCCTCAATTGAATGTAGACCCCATATACAACCTTACAAGAAGCCTATCCCCCCATGTCACAAAATCATATACCTTAAGTGCAGCAGTTAAAGGAACCCTAGTCCCTCAGGCAAGCAGCCCGAAGTTCAGAAGGCCACCTTCCTCCTGTTGAGAATTAGGGTGTAGGGCCTAGGGTTCAGGAGTGATTTAAGAGGGATTTTGTTTGGGGTGGATGAGGTGTTCAACAATTTTTGGGTGTTTCGGGTGCGGGGATTTTTTGCCAACGGCCGAGAATGGTCTCCTTCATGCTGAAGGACTTAAATTCGGCTTCAATCGTTGGGACTATAGTTTACAGCAAAGTTTAGGGAATGAGAGGCTTTTGACCCTTTCCGCCGAAGCCAGCCGCGATGGCTCCCAGTGGACTGTTAGGTCATGCTCCCTTGCTGCAGGCCGCGGGGCACCCGGATCTCTGAGTATTAATACTTACAAATTAAGTCCAGCAGGACGACCCTTACACAATCCTTTTCCAGGAATGAGAGGGGCGATCAATCAGGGACTACACCGCTGCTGGGTGGACTGAACCTGAACCGATCCGGAGAGCAAGAAAACCCAGCCCGGAGCCTTCTCTAGCCTCTTTATGCCCGCTCTAGCAGACAACATCACAGGTGTTTCGGTCATAGTGATTATTGCACACGTAGGCAGAAGTTGCATGAGTCTACACGGAACGATGGAAAGATGGATCCAGCCTAAGATAGCCCCTGTTTTACACAAGCTTGCTTGGAGTTCGCCCGGCCAGTATCCCCGCAGCACATCGCACTCGTGGCGAGATGCGCAAGGCCCTAAACCCTCAAAGCAGAGAGAAGGCAGGCACCTCGGCCAAGGCCGGCATCGCTCCAGCAGCAGCCGCCGTGGTGGCCAGGGCCCCTGTGGCTCCTGGACCCGAGACTCCAAGATCCCTGACTTAAGGGGTTCTGCCTAGTTCTGCCTCACTAAATGAGATAAACACACACACACACATACATATATATATAGATAGATAGATAGATAGATAGATAGATAGATAGATATAATATAGATGGCTTCTTTCCTTACAGGATATGGGAGGTGTGTGGAAATCTGCTTGCCACCTGAGGGGCTCTCCAAAACCGGTACTTGATTTAATAGCCGCACACCCCATGGCGATCCACGAAGTGCAGCCAAGAAAAGCATGCCCAACATCACACTGCAAGCAAAAGAGTACTTGAGGATCAGTTTACGGAGAGGACCTGAGCCCTTAGGGAGCTTTTCAGCACTCACACTCGGACAACCCAGGCGAGGATTCTGGCTTTTGGGATTTCGGCCTCTGAGAGTCTGGGGGCTGGGGATTTAAAAGTCGTAGTTATGGCGATGCCGCGATTCGTAATCAAGGCTCCTGTTTTACTGTTTAACAACTCGTCACCAGAAACTAGTAACTAGGAAATCTGTTCAGGCCTTGTCTGTCGAAACTTTCACTTCACTGCAATCTTTTAGGAGAGGTGCATCTCGCAGAGACTTAACCATGAGATGCAAACCACGGGGTGAGGGTGGATGTTTAACGTTTAGCTTCGCGGCTAAGATTTCGACATGTTCGGGAATGGTCATTGACCTTTTATGGAACAAGGTGCCCGGAGCTTTCGACGCTACCAGCCGCTACTACCAGCTCTGCATGCTCAAGTCTATGTAGGCTCTCGACAAGACTGCGGAGAGATCAAGCGCAAGGTCTCTGGTTTTAACAGTTTTTTGGATTTGGGGGGTATCTTACCGTACCGACCTCCACGCAGCAGCGGCTTTCCAGCTGGCAGGAAGGCCGTCGCACTCCAGCGCAGGGCGATGACAAGGACGGCCAGGACGGCGAAGGAGAGGACACGACGGGCCATTGCTTCGAGATGAAGACTTGTTGCTTCGCGAGAGACAAGAGAGAAGGCCCCGAAAGGTCCCGCAAATGAAGGCGCTGCTTCCTATGTTCGCTGCTTGCCTGGCTGAGCCGAAACATGCCAGAAACCAGGTCCATCGATCTCGTAGCTTCGATTCCAAAGCGGGGTTACTTGGTGGATCCGGGGACTTAGTAAGCATAGGGGCACATGGAACGTAAACTTAACCACGTATACTTATAACCCCCAGTCAAAGAGTCTCACTTATGGACTCGCCTGATCCAATCACAAGTGGGCGCCAGGCAGCAGGATGCGATGTGGGCACTGGCCTCTCAAAAGGCCTCAGCAACATCTTTTGTTTGCTGGGCTCTCCGACATGTCATTCTACGTCTACCCATTGTATTTCGGGTATTGCTGGCTGCAACCACAGAAACTGCTTGCACATCGTGCCGGTCATCGCAATACTGCGAGACACTTCGAGGTCGCAGCAGGGATGGCTCGTCTGACTGTTGCGCTCGCCTTGCAGAACGTGTGGCTCTGTTCGCGATGCAGAGGTTTACGGTCTCGCCAGTTCGATGATCAAGGCTGGCAAGTTGCAATTTGGTGATTCATCAGCATGTACCAGCTAACGACGCCGTGTTCTTGTGGATATGCTGTCTCTTCTGTGTGCTGTGGTGCGTGGGGTGAAGTGAAGGGGGGCGATAGTTACGTTCTTGCCGCACTCTGCAAACCCAAAGACCCTAACCCTACCCCTAGCCTGTGTGCACCAAAATCAACCGAAAATCAGCTGCGCTCTGTTTCTTGCTGATTCTCTCCGACTCGTACGCCCCCCTGCCCACCGCTGCTCCACATACTGAGTGAATTGGCAGTTGAACCAAACTCGCCGAAGTTTACGCTGCTTGTTGCGACGCTCACTCAGGACCATGAGTTCTGCAGCACCGCAGGTCGGAAGAATGTAAAATGCAACGCTTCTCCTGCTAGCAGACGCCACTGCTCGTCTTGAAATCTGACCTGCCGCATCCGAATCAGTCTTCTGACGGACCACCATCGCAATCTCTGATTCCGTGCTGTCGTCCGCGTGCCGTGGAAGAACGTGTGCGCTTAGCACGTCAAGTAGGATTTCGGCTGCGTCGAAGTCAGGTTAGACTGAGAGGCACAGGATCCCGCTACCCTGCAACGTAAGCATGCGAAGCAGGCCCCCGCACTGAAATGGAACACTCGAGAAAGCCGTATCTTGCACATAACGCCAAGACAACGAAGGATCCACAGCCCTTCCAGCACCTGATTCGAAACTTACGTAAAGAATGCACTCGAGTCCGCCCAAGGTTCGAGCAGAATTGCGCGAAGCTGAGGATCCGCCAGGATGTCCTCAAAAGACCTCGGACTGGATTGGAGAAGGGCGGATGAAGGCCTGTCTACTGACAGCTTCGGATTTCAGGGCGTTAACGGGTGCAATACAGAGTCTATATGTAGAGGTCGAAATAACTGCAGTAGGATGCAGCATCCCCTTATGGTATGACGTTCCTAGAAGCTGCTGTCGGTAGGTTTATCTTGCTCACGGGCGCTTTGCGCCGTCCGGGCTGGAGGATGGCATTGACCGACACGTCTGAATATTCAACAATACCAACAAACTCGGATTCTAGGGCAAAACTGTAGACATGAAAGCAAGGGGAGAACTCCTGACCACCTGGAACAGCCGATGTTTATCCAAAGGGCAAAGGCGGATGGGATTCAGCTGTGGCTGACTTGTCAATCGATGTCGACGGTGGACCTGACACCAAGGTCATCAACGGATCATCCCTACTCCATCCCGAACCAGAGAAATCAGCTCTGCTTTGGCCACTTCGGTTTTAAACCTCAAACCCAGAACAAGCACCAAGTATCTGGGTGGTTCTACCTGAATGTCGTCTGTCCCACATGCATTTGTGCGGCTTCTGTGTGGCCGGAGTTCTTCCGTTCTCCTTCTGCTAATCCCTAAACTCTAGACTCTAAACCTAAAAAAGTAACTCCACCACCCGCTAGAGTCAGCGGCCCCTTTCCGAGCACGACGAACACGGTCGGCGAGAACGAACGTGCCCTGTGAAACTTGGACAATGCAAGCCCAATGCTGCGAGATCCATGAATGTCGCCTGTACCATTGGAGTCTGGAGACATGCAATTACTCTGCTCCCACTGGTCGTGTTGACTGCACCTTGAACTCGACTGTCATGAAGCTACAAGCAGGGTGCAGAAGGCACAAGGTCTGGTTTCTGGAGGATGGCAATAACAGCAATAAGCGAAAGCGTGTTTCATGCTTGTCACATTCCTATCATGGCAATGGATCAATGCGGCATTCAGCCATTGTCGGGGCCATCATCCTCTAACTCCAGCTCATCGTCCTGGCCCTCCTCGTTGTTCTCCTGTTGTGATCGGGATTGAGCTCAATGGGTTTAACCTCAGAGCGAAAATCCAACTCAATTGCCTTACGAGCCAGTTGCTACTTTATCTTTTGGTCAGTACTTCCGCTTTGCCTGACTACTCGCTTGATTGAGAGGTTCTCTGGCACTCTCTCGCACAGGGCTCCTCCTCTTCGCTCTCTTCGTCGAGGTTCCGCAGGTCTAGAAGCTTCTTCTCCCTGATCGGCGGTAGTGGTCGTGCAACTAGCCGCACGATGCCATGACGGAAGTCTTCACACTTCCTAGCTGCGCCTACAATCAGATGCTCCACACTCATTCTGCAAAAGGGCATCGTGTGGCAGCCCTATCCAGCCCCTCTGCCTTACTTCACCACGCCACGCAGCTTTGACAGCTTCAACGTTGATCTGACGCAGCGTTTCAGCCTGCATTGTGTTTCATTCATTCCACACGAAGTCAGCGCGTGGAATGAATGCATCATCAGAGAGCGCCGTGGACGATGGCAAATGCTACATACCTACCTACCTACCTACCTAGCTAGCTACCTACCTACCCACCTACCCACCGACCGACCCACCCACCTGTCAGTGAAAGCTTAACTCCGAGCGCCGAACCTCCTCATCAAGAGAAGTACCGCATTCAAACGATCTACACTGAGTCACTGAGTCAGCACAGATCAACTGCACGCCACGGCTCTGAAAACACACCAGTTGCAAGGCTTTCATGACTATATCCACTTGGCTCCAGTCCGCATAGGTTTTGCGGGCCACACTCCAATCACTAGAAGCAGCAACAGCAGCAGGAGTGGTCGCAGCAACAGTGGCACAGCAGCAGCAGCAGGAGGAGTAGTAGGAGTAGGAGCAGGAGTCGGAGATGGAGATAGTCGTAGGAGGAGGATTAGGAGTAGGGGTAGGAGCAGGAGTAGTAAGCAGTCGGAGTAGCAGTGGGAGCAGGAGCAGGAGGAGGAGGAGGGGCAGCAGCAGCAGTAGCAGTAGTAGTGTAGTAATTAGTAGCAGTAGTAGCAGTAGTAGTACTAGCTGTTGTTGTTGTTGTTGGAGCAGCAGCGGCAGCAGCAGCAGTAGATAGCACATTACTAGTCCCAGTAGCGGCTTTGATAATTGATACTGGTACTAGCCACGAGTAACACTGGTACAAATAGCAGGGGCAGTCGCAGAAGTAGCAGCAGTGGTGTTCTTGGCAGTGTTGCTGGCAGCGGTGGGTGTCGTTGTGGTTGCGCAGTAGATCGGAGCCTCTCCTGCTTTCATTGCTTTCCATTTCTATAGCTTAAGCCCTGGGCCTTAAGACCTATAACATATAATTATATAGGTTTTAAGATTTAGGGTCTAGGCCTCTCCTGTTCTCATTGTTCTTCTCCACCTTGAGCATCTTGTCCTTCGACTCAGCCACACCCGCTGCATTCGGGTCACCCTCACCTGGGCACGGTTTGGTGGTTTGTAGGGATGGCGGTGGCTGTGGCACTATCAGTACTGGCAGTCGCCGTGGCAACCATACAACGAAAACAGCAGTAGTAGAAGCATTCGTCCGTCGTCGTCGTCGTCTTCGTAGCCGTTGCGGTAGTCGTACTCACGGCCCGTAGTGGTACTCGTGGTAGTACAGTATACTCGTCACGCCGTCATAATAGATGTACCAATACGATTACATCCTACTATACCTAGTAGCACGACTACTAGTGACGATACTCCGTGCTTCAGTCTGATGGTCTTTACCTGGCGGAATCAGCAGGGTGGGCATTGCATTGTCCTTCTAGACTCTTCTTGTGCTCAGCCTAATTCCTTCTGAGAAGTTGGGCTTACTGATGCTATTGATCCGGTTGGCGGATTCGGTCAAGCCAGTCGCTTCTGGGTGCTCAATACGAAAACAATATCAAGGTTCGTCTTCAACAGAACCAGATTACCCATTACATAGGCTTCTGCATTAGCAACACTCCTGTTCAAATCCTTAATGTAGGGGCCTTTTTCATTAGAATAGGGTTTTGGGGGTTCCTTACTATAGTTTTAGTATAATGGGCCCCAAAACCCTATTCTAATTATTAGGTTGTGCAAAGGACCGGCCCGCCAGAATTCGGAGCGGCTGACCTGGGAGCAAGTTCTTCATGGCGGCAATCTCGTGGTCGTGGGCATACTTCCTGAAGCTCTCTGCTGCACGATGGCTTAGGGGCTGAGTACCCTAGCCCCAAAAAAGTTTAACCTTTCAGCTATGGTAGGATTATCTAGGCCCAAAAAGGTTAAAGGTTACCTACTCAGCTACTAAGATGGTCAAACCCAAAGACCCAACAAAGTTCGGCCTGAGGCCCTGTAGAAGCTTGTACTTGCCAATTACAGCTTGGCTTGAGGGCTAAGGGTGCAAGACAGACAACTGAGAGTTCCCTTGTCATGACAAGGGCAAGAGCTACTCGTTACCCCTTTGGGGCCTTTTCTCTCTGCGTTTGCTCGGCGGGTGAATTTTTATGCCTTAACCAAAGGGCTAGGGTTCGGGGTGCCCGGTGTCAAGCTTTCCTGTCAGCAGGAGTGTTAACGTCTAGAGCGACTCACACCTGCTGGCTGCTTGATGTGGCAGCCGCGCATTCGGGGTGCGGGTGCTTCACACAGAAGT